ATCCTGAAAGACTAAAAGAATTATAACAGGGCATAACCTTACCTTTTGATGAATGGTATTTTCTGACTAGGTATACATATGGATAGCTAGTGTGAAAATGAAAGACCCCTTCTTCATGCCTGTTAGCATTACATGGCAGATAAACATTCATTAAATGCCATAAAAATTCCAACTGGAATAAAAAGGTATAAAAATGGCATAACAGGATTGCCTGTATCAATCAACAATCAGATTTCTTTATCTACTTCATTACGGGTTCTTCTTGAAGTTCCTGAGATAAATAGGAATATTTTTATATTCACAACATATGTGCATCAAATACTAGGTTGATCAATCAAAGTCTCATTATCCAGTATAAATAAATAATTTATAATGAGTTCGGCATTAAAATTTTGCAAAAACTCTATAGATTGAAAAGCATTCATGAAAAGTTCTCTAGGCAACACTTTCGAGTAATGAATCAAAAAACTACAGTAAAAGGGGTTAAAGATATAACATTAATGATTGATTGTAGGATTTATCCAAATGCAGTTCTAAGAGGCTTTAACGGTTTCTACATTAAATGTAGATTTCTTTTTTTCTGAGCAGTCAAACAGCTGCAATGTCAAAATATTTCAGTACAGTTCCTCCTTAATATATCAGAAATATCTAGAGAAAATTATAGCTTCCATTCTGGATAATCAAGGACTATTGCAGGAGGGGTGGGGTGGGGGAACAATGATTTGTGGGTACAAAGTGACTAAGTTCCACGGTACATTTTTATGGCCAATCAAGGGTTATGTTACCAAAAGAAATATTAGATAAAAAGAAATATAGTTTAGCTTGATACACATTTATGTCCTTATATCCATGAGAAAGCCTCTTATTAAGTGATTTAGAGCATGAGAAAGGAACAATAACATACAGAAAGACAGACATAAGTACACATATATCAAGATAATCTGTAAGGCACAATTATAATCCACCCTGGAAAAAAATCAACCACACAAGAATGATTGGGTGAAAGGATAGAAAAAAACACTAAAGTAAAATTTGGTGCTGTTTTGTGGAATATGAGTATCACAGTGGTTTAGTATGACTGCCACAGTATGTATATGGTCAATTTGCCCATATTAATTTATTTAATTTAAATTTATATGGTTGCCTAACTCAAAAAAATGACCTTGGGTAGATAACCATTAAAAGTAGAATAAAAACAACAAGCAAAAACTATAAGCTCTAATTGTGTACGTGCATCTTATGGGAAGCAATAAGCTTTCAGTGATGACTTCCTTCAAAAGGAAGTAACTAAAGAGGCCAGCTGAACTGGAGGAAAAGAAAAAGTAGATAATATAAAATGAAAGAATATTCAACAATTTATTCCCAGAACTACAATCTCCTTTAATGCATTTATATCCAAGTAAGTCTAACCAGCCACTAAATGCCATTAAAAGAATGGCATTTACCTATAACAGCTTCATAGTAATTTCACATGATCAGCAGGAAAGAATTTGGGGAAGTGCAATCTAGCTCTCCAAAAGATTAATGCCTCAATCTAAAGATGCTTACAGTACATTGAGTTTGTTGTTCCCCTTTAAACTGATTTTCACTCAACCTTGATTTGGCAGAAAACCATATCAGCATGACATTAACTATTCCCATTGCCAGTCCCTATGCTGCTTCCATCTAACTGGGGACAAAATGAAGGCAATGCTATGGGGTTATGACAGATTTCTGGGTCTCATTATTCCTGGTTCTCGGTCTCACAAGCCCTTGAGGGACCCCAGCTCACATCACTATTCCACAATTCATTAAGGAGATGGCTGCAATATGCTGACTCTTCTAAGCTTCTGTTGATGGCAACAGATGTCCTGGCCGTAAGGGCTGTCAGAGCATAAACTTTTCCAATTATCTATACTAACATTTCTAGTAGCATACTGAGGCTACAATATCTTCTGTTTCCCTTCACACCAAATGCCCTTGGATCTATAAGTAGCATTCCACCATTTATATTTCTTGTTTTCTTTGTATTCTTATCTCAGACCTTTGCCAGTTTACCTTGTCAGTCCTATTCTATTTTGACTCGGGTTTGTAGAAGCATTATACAAATAAAATAAAATATTGACAACCAAAAATCATTGTCCTAATCCCCAGTTATTGTCTCAAATCTTTCTTTGTATACCAAGCAGATCTAAAACAATAAAACAAAAAACCACCTCTCTCTTACATAAACAGATTTTTGCAGTCTGATATAAAATTCTCAGTGCTGGTTCTATTATTTGCTTTGGCCAAGACTTTAAAATCTCTAGGCCTTTAAAATCCTCTTAAATGCTCTTCTTTGCACTTTTGCCAAAGTTTCAACTTTTGCCAAAGTCTCAACATCCTTTTTGTAATGTGGTGGTGACCAAAACTGGATGCAGTATTCCAGATATGGCCTTACTTTATATAAGGTGATACTAATACTTCACATGATTTTGATTTTATGCCTCTGCTTATACAATCAAGGATTGTATTAGCTTTTTTGGCTGCTGCCGCACACTGCAGGCCAGTGGTGGGATTCAAACTTTTTTTACTACTGATTCTTTGGGCATGGCTTGGTGGGCATGACTTGGCTTGGTGGGCTTGACAGGGGAAGGATACTGCAAAATCCCCATTCCCTCCCCACCCCACTAACCTGCTTTCCAGCTCTGTTCTCCTGTGCAGGGCAACAAAAGAAGACCCAGCCAATCAGCTGGGACTCGAGAGGCAGGGAATAGATGGGGGCGGGGCCAGTCAAAGGTGATATTTTCCGGTTCTCTGAAGTACTCAAAATTTCCACTACCGGTTCTCTAGAACTGGTCAGAACCGGCTGAATACCACCTCTGCTGCTGGCTCATGTTTAAGTGATCATCTACTAGGACTTCTAACTAGCTACACTAGCACTGATGACATTACCTAGTTTGGGTAATGAAACGTGTGCAAGACAAACAAGCAAGCTCAGAAAGCACCAAGAAGCTCTTGACTTGCTACAATGTTTGAACTTCAATGACGACACAAACCCATCGGTACTCAGAGTCTTGCCAAAGAAAGATGTTTTCACCTGTGACATTTTATCAGGAAAACGCCCAAGAAATTCTATCGAAAATTCATTCGTTTATTCATCCATCCATCCTGTTTACATGGGCATCCATCTCACAAACAGGTGGCTCTGAGCACCATACAACAAAGCTAAAAACACTATATGCAAACAAGTATTAAGATTGTTGTGGTTTGTTGCACAGTCAGCCAGATATTCAGATTGGGTTTGGTATTCATATCTACCTTTAACGTTCTTCCCAAAAGGACCTGGGATAGGCAGATGCTGTTGTTTGATGGTGTTAAAGGTACCATTGCAGGATGTAAGATGTTCCAAATAAAGCTGCCTTTTGCAATTGACTCATGGTGATGTTGTCAGTGCTACTCATGTTCAAGTGATGCTCCAAATGTTTCGGGATTGCATCTATCACAACTGGTGCTATGTTTGCTTTTTTTTTTTTTTTTGGTCACAGTAATTCTATTCTTTCTATTCTGTGATTTTTCCATTATTATTTATAATTTTAAAATTATAAAAGGCACAAATCTAAAAAAAAATATTATACAAAGAGTAGGTGTTAATTACCCTGGAGCGATTTCAATATTTCACAAGTCACCATGTCTGCAACAAAATTCTCTTGAAGGACTTATGGAAACTTGAAAGGGGTGATTATGGAGAATAATGTGGGGAATAACGTTCCACAAAGCTGGGGGCGCAGCAGAAAACGCCCACCACCACCTACCAAATGCAACTTATTAACCAACAGGGTCCGCAGTACGCTCTTTCTGCTGGATCTGGTGGAATGGGCAGATGTAAGAGAGGAGGAGCTGTCCTTCATATAACCTGATCCAATGATGTGCCTTTTAAAAGTAAAACCTGCACCTTGAGTTATACCTGGGGTGTCAAACTCAAGGCCCATGAGCCAGATCCGGCCCACTGGATGCTTAGATCTGGCCCACAGGGCCAGCTAGGAAATAGCAAAGGACCAGCCCTTGGTGCCTCTGCTAGCAAAAACAGAGCTGGGGGGGGGGGGGCAGTTCCACTTTTGCTGACAGAGGGCTATCAAAACAAAGTAAAAACAGAACAAAAGGAGATATGTTTCCCCTTTTGCATTTGACCATGCAAGAAAGCAGTGGTGGGATTCAATTTTTTTTTACTACCGGTTCTGTGGGCGTGGCTTGGTGGGCGTGGCAGGGGAAGGATACTGTAAAATCTCCAGTCAGAGGTGGGTTTGCCAGTTCCCCAAACTACTCCAAATTTCCGCTACTGGTTCTCCAGAACTGGTCAGAACCTGCTGACTGCCACCTCTGCAAGAAAGGACAGGAAAGGAGAAAGGGAAAGAGGAAAGAGAAAGAAAAATAAGGAAAGGTGAGAAGAGAGCAAGGAAGGAAAAATAAGAGGGGGAGGAAGAATAAAGGAGAAGGAAGAGGGAAAGAAAAAGAAAAAGAAGGAAGGAAGGAAGGAAGGAAGGAAGGAAGGAAGGAAGGAAGGAAGGAAGGAAGGAAGGAAGGAAGGAAGGAAGGAAGGAAGATTAAAATGACAGAGGGGGGGGGTCTCAGAGAAGTCCTGACTTAGCACTTGGCCACCACAGATGCCCAAGACACGAATGACATTGAGCTGGCCACACTCCCCTTGCCCACATCCACACCAGCCCTCCGAGGTCAAACACAACCCTGATGCGGCCCTCAATGAAATCGAGTACCCCGATTTAGACCTAAAAAGAGAATGGTAACCAATGCACGTGGGGAGCAGAGGAAGAATATGTGTTCTTCTAGAACAGGGATCTCCAACTTTGGAGACCTGGCTGGGGAATTCTGGGAATTGAAGTCCCCCAGGCTTAAAGTTGCCAAGGTTGGAGATCCCTGTTCTAGAACACATGAACACATGAAGATCTAAGTTAAATGGAATTGGTAAATCCAAAAGTATATTATCTAACACTTTCTTGTAGTATTACTGCGCCTAGAGATAGTTCTCGTTTTAAAAAAATCTCTAATCCTACAATCACAAAACACGTTTGCAGTTTCCTGTGTGTAATTTAATCTTTCACTTTTAAACGATGAGGTCAAACTGGGAATCTATCTCAAATCTAATGTTGATAGGGAGTCTCTGTACTTGATTCTCCCAGATTTACTAGCCATTTTAGTTTCACAGAAGCCTTCGTATCTTTGATCAGATATGGAATGAACAAACTACCAAAGCGTATAATCCCTTAATAAAACACATCCTTGGAAAATTCATTTTCACTTTTCACTTTTGAGAGACAACTCAGAGATTCTTTCTGTGACTGCTTCTGCTAGTGGTTTCTAGCAGCCAAAGTTAGGAAGCTTTGCAAGAGCACTGCAGTAAGTATTCAGTCGAGATTTTTAGAAGAGCTGAGTTTGGGGATTGGCTTCCATTAAAAAAAAAAAACAAGCTTTGAGCTGTAGGAAGTTAGCACCCACCCCTCTCCTAGAAAAAATGAAATATCCTAGGAAATATTAAAAAGGCACAATATTTCCCCTAAAAAGAGTAGAAACTCAGAAGCAGAAACTTGCCTCAGAAGCAGAAGCTCACCCCCACCTTTGTTAATGGGTGGGCCATTAAGACCTGGGCCAGAATAGTTTACATAACAAAGATCTCCAGGTAGAACTATAGGAATTGCCTTTTCATTACATCATCATCCAGTGAGACTCAACCAAGCCTGGAACTCAGGACAGCCTACAGAATTGCCCCTGCATGGCCCCATGGGAGTCTGATAACCAATCAGAATACAAGCTCAAATTCAAATCCCAACGGAAGGCATAAAACCAAGGGACTCTCAACATTTCTGCTTTTTTCCCTCCCTTCTTTTCCTTCACCCAACATCTTGAAGCACGTGATAATCCTTTTCACTTTGGAGCTCCAGTCCACGTGGTCCTGTCCACCATTAAACCATCTTTCCAAACAGCCTCCATGTTTTTCCCCACTTGGAACTGAACCCAGAAGGATAATTTTTCCAACAGAGTTTTGAAGGAGTTTGATTATGAATATAATGTTTATTCCAATGAAGTATTTAAAAAAGAATCTCTCCAAGCAGAACAACAACAGTAAAAAAAGCAGTAGTCACAATTTGGAGCATTTCTTATTGAGAATTGATTAATGAGGATAAATGTTGCCTTCCCTGACTAAAGATACTGTATCTATGCTCCACAATTCCCTTGCTTTATGGTGCTAAACCCCCGATTCAGAAGTAGTACCCTCAAACCTCCACCCAAACTGACACTGCTATTTGGGAGGAATTAATGGGATGAAAATATTTGAAACTCCACCCAGAAACAAATAGGCAGAATATGAATAAACTAGCCTCATAGCTACCTAGGGGACAGTGATGAATTGAGATATGCAAACAGTGCTAATATTGTTGATATGAACATAGATGTCCCTGACCTGTATCTGAAGCAAATGGCTGTTTTAATAAATATCTAATCCTTAAAGTGTTGACATATGCTAATCTGAGACTACAATACTTCCATTTGCATGATTCTGTGTTGAAAGCCAGTAGCTCCAAGCAAATAAGCTGCCCGTAAGTAATTGACTAATGATTCAGGAGACAGCAAACAATGGGTGACATCAAGCACAGAACTGACAAATGCAGGAAATTATACAGTATCTGAAGCTTACGTTCATGTAGCCCTTCTGTTCCTTAATTGCTATCAAGAATCAAAGTAAGGTCTTAGCAGATGAGGGAAAAGATGTCATACAAGAAATACTAATTCTTCTAAAATAAGGTAGCAATTTTTTGGGGTGAACATAATGTAAGCACACTCATAAAATGTATATTACGGAATGATTTGCCATATGTCACAATGTTCCTACTCAAATAAAAGCTTTTGGGTGAGATTTCTCATCGTCATACCTTCTAGTTTCTAGTTGTAACCCTAAACCTAACCCTTCCAAAAACCCAAAACAGAGGTTTCAGCAGGTTCTGATAAGCAGGTTCTGATCAGTTCTGGAGAACCGGTAGTGGAAATTTTGAGTAGTTCGAAGAACCAGCAAATACCACCTCTGACTGGCCCCACCCTCATCTATTCCCTGCCTCCCGAGTCCCAGCTGATTGGCCGGGTCTTCTTTTGTTGCCCTGCATAGGAGAAAGGAGCTGGAAAGCAGGTTAGTGGGGTGGGGAAGGAAACCTTCCCCCAGGAGTGGGGAGGGAATGAAGATTTTACAGTATGCTTCCCCTGCCATGACCACCAAGCCACACCCACAGTAGTAAATTTTTGAATCCCACCGCTGACCCAAGAGCTGGGTGTCTTATAGAGTTAGAGTTAGGGTTTCATAATAGAGAATCACAGCAAAGACGTCTCCATGTCTCCGTGTTCCATCAAATGACACTGTTTGATAAAGATACTTGCGCTGTTAGATCAGATGGGAAAAACTGGCCCAAAAAGTAAACTAGCCCTGGGCCAATCAGGACTTGGTAATCCGTTCCCTGAATGCATATTCCTGTATCCGGAGCCAATACAGCTCACAAAACCACTATCCTGGTTGAGGTTTTAATTTTACACTCACACACATAGTTGCTATGGAGATTAGCACTTTAATCAAGGTCAAGGAGATAACAGTAGACAAGGGATGCTAATCAAAACAGAATTTCTGAAAAAGCTTGCCTGAATTATTTTGCTTTCAATAGGAACTCACACAATAGAGATGTATCAGCTTGTCCACACTATGAGCGTTTGAGCATAAAAAGATGTCAACATTTTCTTAAAAATTATTTCATACATTTTAGAACTCTGGAAACCATATTAGAAGCCATTGACCCTGAACTCAAATAAAATAACTTATCTTTGGCTGCAATGCTACATAAGTTTTTCTGGAGATAGACTGTGCCAAGTCAATGGGTTACATTCCTGGATTAGAAATGCCTTGTTAAACAGGAACTCAGCATTGCCCTCCATGACTTCAAACATTTGCTGTAATCAGATGACTTGGAACTTATTTGTTGTCTCCGTTTCTAGTGCTGTAGCAAATTCCCAAAAAAAGAATTTCAACAATTCAGAATCAACAATAGGATTTTGAAAAGCAGTGCTATATCATATCTTTTTAAAAAGAGATCTATATTTAATCTAACACTGAGAATCTACTGTTCATTGTAAACTCTTTCCCCCATGCTTTTCTGAAAGTAGGTTTATGATTAAATGTTGATGTTTTGGAAGATGACAAAGGCAGTCTGATTTAAGATGGCATTTGGATATGTTTGACTGAGGTTTAATTATCATTTTTAATAAATTTATTATTGAATGGGTTTGTGGATTTTTTTTCATGGAATCAAAGGATTGAGAAAGTTATTGGATATCTTCTAACGCAGGAGTGTCAAACTAAAGGTCACATCTGGTTTGTGTTTGACCTCAAGGGGCCAGGATAGGCATGGCCAGGGTGGGTGTGGCCAGCTCAATGTCACTCGTGTCGAGAGCACCTGTGCTGGCCTGAGCACCCTGCCAGCAAAAAAATGGGCTGCTGAGCTCCATTTTCAGCTGCAACGGTTTCCTGCAACCCTCTGCCAGTGAAAATGGAGCTTGGGAGAGCCATTGATGGTCCTCCCAAACTCCATTTTCACTGTAGAAGCACCGCGGGCTGGTTCCTCGCTGTTTCCAGGGCAGCCTGATGGGCCAGATCTAAGCACCCCACAGGCCAAATCTGGCCTGCAGGCCTTGAGTTTAATATCCCTATTCTAATACAAGCTCCTGCCAGAAGATCTAGGACAACACAGCACAGCCAGTTCAGCGTGGCCAGCTTACTGTCGACAGCTCACCACCGCCAATTTGCCTCTGCCATGTCATTGCAGGACAACTCCACATGACCAACTCACCATGGGCAGCCAGAGGAAGAGCCAGGCATGGCAGTCAAGCAAGCAGGCAGCCTGCCTGCCAGAGTAGGAAGAGCATCCCAAACATATGGCTATCATTTACTTGAAAGCCTTCAGGGATGGAGGGCCCATGATTCCAGGAGGCAAGTTATTCTACGGTATAACTACTGTCCTGACTAGTAAATTGTTCCATATTTTGATTTTAGATCAAAATCTCTCTATGAATTTTTCCATCCACCGATTCCTTTTCTACTTTCTGGCACAATGTAGAATAAATCCACATTGCCTTCTTTTGTCAAGTCTTTCAAGTACCAGGAGACTGCTATTACGACTCTCCTTAGCCTTCTCTTCTTCTTCCTTCCTGCACAAATCTTAGTCCAGCTGAGTCATCCTCTTCGGGGTGGCCATTTTGGACCACCGCTGCACTCGTCTTCGGGAGGAAAAAAAAACACAGCCCAAGCGGGGGGGGGAGATGCGGCTCCCCACAATCAGGCTTGCTGCTTCCTCTTACTCCGCTGCCCCTCCAAGGCAGTTTCAGCCCCTAATCAAAATGATTGGGGCTCTCCGACGAAAGAGCACGGACGATAGCCACAGAGAGTTGCAATCTACCTTCCGTCGGCGAAGAGGCTCCGCCTTCTTCCAGCCTTCTCTTCTTTAAGATAAACACACCAGTTCCTTTCATCATTCTTCATAGGGTTTAGCCTCCAAGCCTATCATAATTTTTGTTGTTGTTCTCTGTATTCTTCCAAGTTCTTTTGCATCCTTCTTGTATTGTGGGACCAAAAGTAAACACAGCATTCCCAGGTATAGTCAAACCAGTACAACATAGAATGGAATTGTAGATTTCTCAACACTTGCCTTTAACCATTGTGGTACAATGGTTAAAGCACAGAATTGCAGGCAAACTCTGCCCACAGCCTGGAGTTTGATCCTGACGAGGCTCAAGGTTGACTCAGCCTTTCATCCTTTTGAGGTCGATAAAATGAGGACCCAGATTGTTGGGGATAATATGCAAATACATTGTAAAGTGCCCAGATAGTGCTGTAAAGCACTATGGGGCTGTATATAAGTTTAAGTGCTATTGTTATTAATGTATTGGATCTTTTGCCAACTGCAGCACAATGTTGCATTATGCTGAATCTATGGTCTA